TCTATCCTCAATCCTATTGTTCCCGAACTGAGCTGAGTGGACCCACTATCCAGTAGTTCTCTCCCACACCCTATTTTACACACACACACACACACACACACACACACACACACACACACACACACAGAGTGTCAGGATGGTGCTGCAGTGATGTCCATGCTCTCTCTAGTGTCCACTCTGGGTACTACACCCAGAGCTCCAGGAAACTGCCCTGGGGTGAGAAGACCAGCCCCTTCAGGACCTTCCCACCACAGGATGGGAGATAAATCACAGTTCTTGCTCTCAGAGAGCTCACAGTTTAATGATAGTGAGGTGAATGGGACAGACTCAGGCTGAAAATGGCAGTAAAGGGTGTGTGGGAGAATAGGACTCAGTTGGACAGAGAGAAGGCTTCTCCCTGGAAGTGTTGCTTCACCAGAGACTTGCAAAAGGAGCAAAAGTTTGCTTGGTAAAGAAGAAAGAGAAGGACAATCTAGTCTCGACAGAATTAAGTGAGCTAAGAGGCAGGAAATGGGACCGTGCAGGGAGTTACAATTAGGTAGGTATGACTGGAGTGTAAATTTTGAGGGGCATTAGTAGCTAAAGATGAAGATAGCCAGCTAGGCATGGGTCACGTCTGCCATGCACTCAGGCTAGGATTCTAAGCCTTGGACAATGGGACAACACAGGATTTTGAGCAGGGGAGTAACAGAGTCAGATTCACTTTTCAGAATGAACCCTCTGGGGACCAATGCAGAGGAAGGATGGGAGGGGGAGAGTAAGGACAGGGATATCCCTTTGGACACAAAGAATCACACTAATAGGAGACATAGCTTTGAGCAGGTCTGTGAACCGTACATATCAATACATGTGATGTCACCTACAGACGTTAGTGAGATCCCAGGCTGTGCACCCACAGACAAACAATTCCACACTGATATATGCTCAGACGCATAACTTGGGTCCACAAGCCCAAGGGAAACCAAAGGACACACATTTACCTCCAGACGTAGCTGACAGTGAAAAACACACACACAAGCACACACGCATGCTTAGTGTGGCTCTCAAGAACCCTACCCTGGCCCCTTCTGTGTGTCTCCCCCCCCCCCCCCCCCCCCCCCCCCCCCCCCCCCCCCCCCCCCCCCCCCCCCCCCCCCCCCCCCCCCGCGCGTCCTTCACCACCTCCAGCAGGAACAAAGCTGACCTTTGCCCTCTGGCCTCTGGCCTTTCCTCCCACACCCCCTGCCCAGAGGGAGGAGCTGTTTGAAGTCTGGGCTGCAGCTGGGGTTTCCTGTTGCCTGGAGGAATGTGGGAGGACTTGCAAGGGGGAGGGGCTAGCCCAGGAGGAGGGGTAATGGGGGCCTGGGGGGCCTTAGTTCCCACTGTACAATGATGAGGGGGGGCTTCCTGCTTCCCTGGTCTCTTGGGCCCCAGCACCGAGCTGTTCCCATCCTGGGGAGGGGAAGACCAAGGCCATAATGGGCCTCTAGATGCTAGATCTGTGGCTCAGAGGCTTAAAACAATCTCTCAACCTCTCTTGGACTCAGTTTCTCCTGTGAACTGGGCTGAACCACCCTCTAACAAGCCACGCCTCTCCTGAGGTGAGCTCCAAGAGGGAGGCTAGCCTAGAACTTCTGTCATGGGGAAGGCAGTGCCCATCCCTACCCAAGGCTCACTTCACACTGCCCTTTCCATGAGTCCCAAGGGTCTGGCTCCAGGCTGCTCGTGACCTCTCATTCATTGTCATTATTATTATCATGACTCAATCCCCTCAGCATGCCCTTGTCAGTTTTCAAAGCGCTTTCATATCCTTGTGCTCAGTAAATCTTCCTGATCCTGCCGGTAAGACAAGGAAGGAAGTACTCTTCCATTTTACGCATGTGGTAACTGAGACTCAGGGAGGCTAAGGACACGCAAGTAGAAGCAGAATCAGAACCAGACCTGTCTGGCTCCTATTCCCACATGGCCTCCAAACCCTCTTGCCACACAGTTTTAGCCCTAGACTCTCCCCTCCACTTCCTAGGGTCTAGGTATGCCACCTACCGCTTACATTGAAAACAGAAGTGGTTGTAGTGAGCTGAGCCCAGAAAGAGATGACGCAGGCTCTTCCAGAACCCAGGTCCTCTTCTTCACATCTGCCTTCTGGGGGAACTTACATCTCCCCTGCCCAGCCAATGGTGACCATGACACTGTTTGGGAGGACTGGGTAGCCCCTTTTAGACTGCCGCTACTGGAGCAGACATGGAGATTGGACACTAGGTGGCAGCAGCAGTCCATGGGAAGATTCGGCTTGAGTTTGGGAAGACCACCCCCCCTCCTCCCCTCACTCCACACGATTTAGAGAAGCTCCAAGAGAAAGACCAGCCTCCAAATTACTGGAAAAGCCGGTAATGCTTGCTTTCCAGCGATGTTCAATACCTTAGGTGCTAATAGTACCCACCACCTCTGGGGAGGGGACAGCTGAAGCAGCCTAGGATGGTGCATGCTTGCTTGGAAACACAACCTAACTTCAATTCCTCTCTTCTGTGGCCTGCCCAGCTGATCTTGACCTCTGCACCTCATCATTAAACCTCTCCCCTCTCACGTCTTTCCCAAATTCCTCTTCATCTCAATTTACCTGGGGCTTCTTATCTGCCCTAAACCATCTCGTACTACCCCACCCAACTTCCTCCCAACACTTGATTCAGACAGGGTGGGCTCATCATGCTGTGTGGCAAAACCTAGTACCAAAGGATAGGGGTGGCAGGAGTAAAAGAAAATCTGAGCTTCTTCCACCTTCTGAATGCTAAAGTCGCTCCCATGGGGGACCAGCTAGAGCAAGATGCAAAAGAAAGCCACATCTATTTGTGATAACTTTAGAATCGGGCTTTGGACCTGCAAAGGGGCCCTAACAACTTAAACCACTGCTTTCATTAATATCTGACCTTATAATACTTCCCATGCAATGACTAAATCTTTGAACCCAAGGCTTGCCTGCAAAGAGAAGCGGCTCCCAAATGGGGGCCTCTCCAGCTGGCCATGCCTGCCCCATGATGCTAGAGCAATAGGTGTACTGCTTAGTCGTAGGTCTCTCGCATTGCCGTTGCCCTCCCTGCCCTCCCCCATCAAAGGGCCAGTAGAGAGTGTCCCCCAGCACCCCTTCCTTTGCCCTCTGGGGGTTTCAGACTGTCCTAAAGAAGTATAGGGAAGGTGGTGAAAGGGAGCTGCAGTTGGTGAAACATCACCACCTGCCTTTGTCACACACTGGCCATCACACTGCAGGGCCAAAGGAAGAGTCAGAAACAGGTGAGCCAAGGACAAAGGCACTGCTGGAGGAACTTTGGACGTGGGGGCAAGACAGACAAAGCCAGCGGACACAAGGCAAAGGAATGTCAGACACACAGATGAAAGGGACTAACAGAGCACCAGTCAGGGCTGATGTCAGTAGATACTGAGGACAGGACAGTGATCCTGCATTATTCATTTTGGTGTCCCCTGTGAGCCTTGCATATCCCAGTTAACATTTGTTGAATTAAAGTACCAAGGGAGAACACACGGATGCTGGGAGTGAAGGTGAAACAGAGGCCTGGGAGTCACAACTCCCTGCCACCGCCCAGAGAGTAAGTAGTGGGCTTTGGGATCAGACAATTCCTGGTCTGGCTGCGCTCTGCCAGTTCCAAATGAGGGGACCTGCTGGCTCAGTCGGCTAACCAAATGAGGGGACCCGGGCCTCACTGCCCTCATCTCTAAAATGGAAGTGGTAACAGCACCATTTCACCAGGTCCTTTTGGGACTGAAGGGCCCTGCTGTGCCCAGTAAATGGCAGCAGCAGCAGTTTTCCTTCCTGGGCTGTCCAGCTACTTCCCCTTGGTAACCAGGCCCAGGCAGGGCACATTCCCATCTGTGGGGATAGGCCAGGCAGGGGGCCCGGAGCTAGGGGCTGGATAACAGATGTGACCTGAAGAGGAGGTAGGTGAAAGTGCTGAGCCCAGCCCCCTGGCCGCAGCAGGAGCTCTGAACTGTTGAATCCCAATCTTGCTTCCTGAAAAAACCAAAAAGCTCAGTAGAATTCAGGAAGGGGGGAGGGGTGCCATTTGTGGATTATCCACGACTTTGGTGCCCTGGCCGCCCTTGGACTTGTTCGGGACGGGGGTCCCTGAATGAGGAGGAAGCGGTGGTGGGCTTCGAGGTTTCTGGAGCAGCCCTCCCGTCAAAAACCGTTGTGCTTTACTCAAAAGGAAACCTTTTCAGAGAGGGAGAATATCCCCAGACTCAGAAAGCCAGTCCTCCCCTCTCTCTTTTTCGTCTATCATTTAATTGGGGCGCCCCAGAAAGTCGCAGGCCCTTTGGCTAATCCCTTGATTCCCTATTCGACTCATTCCATTCTCAGACCCCGCCCCTTCGCTCCCACCCGCAACCTCCGCTCGAGCCAGGGCCCCCCCGCGGGGAACAAGGAACGTGGGAAACATCCCTAATCCTTGGGGAGAACCAGCACCCTTGGTAAACGAGGACGCACCCCCGCCAGAGGGGCCCGCGCGCGGTCCCCGCGGGCTCAGGGCCGCGCCGTCGGAGCAGCCGGCGCGGCCCCGCCCGCCCGGCTCGCGGAGCGGCCGGGGTGGGGACTACAAGTCCCGGCGTGCCGCGCGCGCGCTCCCCCCTGGGGTTCCGGATGGTGAGCGGCGAAGGTAAGGCGAGCTCGCAGAGGCAGCGGCGGCGGCGGCGGAGACGGAGAGAGGCAGGCAGGCAGGGCGAGGGCGAGAGACGGAGGGAGGGAGCGAGCGAGGCAGACCAGACAGACAGACAGGCGGGCGGGCGGGCGGGCAGAGCGAGCCACCCGCCAGGCTGCGCTCAGCCCAGCTCGCAGCGGAGAGAGCAGAAGGCAGGAGGAGGGAGGGGAGGAGGAGGAGGGAGGGAGAGAGGGAATCCAGCTACCACCACCCAAAGCCAGCGTCTGCTTTCTGTCCTCATTTCCTTTTCCCACCCAGCTCGGAAAGCAGAGAAAGGCAGAGAGAGCGAGAAATAGAGACAGTCAGAGAGACAGACAGACAGCCAGAGATCGGGAGGGAGGAGGGCGGAGGAGGAGGAGCAGGAGGAGGACTACGCGGGGCGCGTTCCCTCCCAGGTTTGCAATCGGGGGGTGGGGGCGGGGGTGTCCAGGGCTGTGAGAGTGTGTGCGCGGCGGGGGGAGCGAGGGGGGCACAGAGAGCGAAGGAGTGATCGAGGTGGGGGGGGCGCCGCGGGCGCGGGGGGCCGTGTCCAGCGGAGTTAGCGGCGGAGAATGTGAGCCGAGACGCGAGCCATGCTGTCAGCAACGGCGGGCGGCTCAGGGCTCCTCCACGACTCCTCTCCCCAGCAGCCGGGCTCCCGCGTCGCTGCCGCCGCCGGAAGACAGACGCCCCCCAAAGCCCCTCGCCTGGCTCGGACCCACGGAGCCGGCAGCCCAGCACTCCGGTGAGTGGCGCCTCCTCCTCAGCCCTAGACCCCGCTGGGGACCGGCCGGCCGGGCTCTTTTGTGCAGCGCACCAGGGGGGGGCCCGCGCCCCCTCCGCGCGCCCCGGTCCGGTCCGCGGGACCCGGTGGCTGCGGTGCCCGCGGTGCGATCGGTCTTTGTTTCCACCGGGGCCCGCGGCTCGGCTGGGCTCGGCTCGAAGCCTGGCAGGCAGCGCCGGGAAGGGGGAGGGGGAGGTGGACGAGAAGGGGGGGTGGGGAGGGGGGGTTCTCGGGTTTCCTGGCCGCCCCGCAGCTCCCCCGGCTCGGGGGCGAGGTGCGCGCCCAGCGCTGCCGCGCGCCCCCTCCTCCTTCCTCCTCCCTCGGTCTTTGGATTTAAAACTGCAATTTGCTCTCCAGCTTGCTGAGAATGTTGGGGGGGGGAATGAAGGGGGGACCGTGGGAGCGGAGAACAAGGCTGGATTTTAGGAACGGCGCTGGGAAAGGGGGAGACTGCGGAGGGAGGAGCCCCTCCCCTCCAACCCCCAAATCCCAAGGTTCCGCTGGTGCTCTGGGAGTTGAGGGGCGGGGACCTAATGACCCGAAGGGGGTGTGGGGCGGAGGAGGGATTTGGGGGTGGCCAGGGCCGGAGGGGTTGGGCCGCGTGCCCGGTTACCTGGCGAACAAAGTCGGCTCACTTTTGCATAAATAAATAAATAATCGCCTATCAATGCGTTTCCTCTGGGGCTCTGATTGAATCGGACCCCCTCTTCCCCAGGGGGTGGGGTGCTGAGTGACAGCTGTCAGCCCCCTGGGCCCGGAGCTGGGGGTGAATTGCTGAATCCCTATTCCTTTTGGCTCAGGGCGCCTTCTCCTGCTGGGTCCTGGTCCCCGGGCAGAGCCAGAGGGGCAGGGGGCTGGCTCTGAGTCTAGGAAATAACCTTGTTTCCTGTTCTACAGGAAAAGGGACAGCGACCCAGAGTTTGGGGGCTGGGGATGAGGACTGATGGGAGCTGGAGGGGTTCCCTAGCAGCCTGACCCCCCCAGCCTCCTGCCAGGCGAAGGGGCCAGCTGAGGGAGGAAGGATGTGGGCCTTGCTGGCCGGAGGCGGGAGCTGGGGCTGTCCCTGAGGCGGGCAGCGGGCACAGAGCGGGAGGAGGGAGAGAGAGAGAGAGAGAGAGAGAAGCGGGGGCGGGAATTCTCTACCGCAGACCCTGGGGGCCAGGGCCAGATGTGGAGGGGTGGGGAGTCCCCCCTCCCTCCTAGCTTGGGGGCCCTGGGGCTGGGCTGGGAGGGGCTGAGCCTGGTGCCCTCGGTTCTGCACCAGTGCCTGACTGGCAGGGCCAGCTGAATTTGGGCCCAGGCGTCACCCCGGGAGGCAGGGCTAGGCTGCACCAGCCTGGTCCCTGAGCACAAGGAGGGACCCTTGGGGGGCCTGTGCCTGTCTGGCTGGGCAGGCGTTTCCCGCCGGACCAGTTGGTGTCAGGCGGGACTTGGCCCCAGCTCCCTGGGCAGAGCTCAGGGTGTGAGGACAAGCTTTGCCTCCGGGTCAGGGTGGCCACATTTTGTCCGCCACCGCCGCCGCTGCTGCTGCTGCTGCTGCTGCTGCTGGCGGGGCGAGGGCATGTGCCCGGGCCTGGGCAGAGTCCTGCCAGGAGTATTTGGGGTGTTTCTATTGTTGGCTTGTTCCTGTTCCGTGTGGCCCCGTGTCTGTGTGTGTGTGTGTGTGTGTGTGTGTGTGTGTGTGTAACTGTGTGAGCTGGGGCTGTTAAGTGAAAGATTACCAGTCTGTCCATCTGCCCCACCCCCACCCCTGGCTTGGAGGCTGGGTTGCGGTGGTGAGCTGCGGGGGGGACCCCCCAGGTGGCATGTGCATGCTGCTAGCTATCTCCCTCCTTTGAGCAGATGTATATTTATTTTTATAGCAATGGAAAATCAAACTGGATAGTAAGTTGAATTCATTTTTTTTCCTCCTGCTGTGTCAATAGTTGGAATAACCCCAGAGACTGGTGAACTTCTTGCCCCAGAGCTCTTACCCTTCAGAGGCTACAAAGATCAGTGAGGGTATGAGCTTAGGGGGACCAGTGGGCACCAGTCCAAACCAATGACTCTTGTCCCTCTTGGTCTGGCACTGGGGCAGGTGCGGGGTGGGCAGGTGGTGCCCCTTCCCCAACCCCCCCCCCCATTCCCCAGGGTGTCGTCCGGCCTCCCAGCCACCTCCTTGGTCAGTGCCTAAGCCGTGCCCAAGCCCTCGGGGACATTCTCCTGGTGGGCTCCCTCCTCCTGCCTGGGCTCCGGGCCCACGTGCTGATATTTATTTTCTGTAGTAAAATCCATTTTTAATGCCGTTACTTTTGAAATAATATAGAGAGAAACAAATGTGATGTGTTTAAGTTGCCCTCTGTGAGTTTTTAATGTGATCTATGGCTGAGGTAGTGATGGAAGGAGCTGTTGGGCTTGGAGAAATTTGGTGTCATAAAGAAAAAGAGCTCGCTGTTTATTATGGTTGCTGGGCTGGGGGGTCTGGAACAAGGTCGGGGGGCAGGGAGCCCCAGCACCCCCAGGTGCTGTGTATGGACAGTGCGGCTTCTCAGTTTGGCGGCATGCGTGGTCCACGATTATTTTGCATTGCTTCCCAGCCCTTGACTGGGACTTTGGTGAGGGGGCTTGGGAGATGGGGGGCTATTTCCCCTATTCCACCTGCTTAGATCTTGGCAGGGAGGCTTCTGGACCCCCTGTTGAGCTAAGTGGAGGTGTACTGTTGGGAGGTTGGCCTTGGACCCTACAGGAGATTAAGGGATGGGATCTCCACCTGAGGTTGTGGCTGCGCTGCAGGCTTGAAGGGCCAAGTGTCCCTGGCTGGCAACTTGAGCGGGGGGGGGGGGGGGGGGGGGGGGGGGGGGGGGGGGGGGGGGGGGGGGGTTTGCTGTGGACGCGAAGAGCCCTAGAGGGACATTGCTGGTTCTCAGATCAGTCTAGAGCATTGACTTTGAGCCACTCCCTCCACTAGCTTCTGTTCCCCTTTGGATAGAGGCTTTCTCCAGGCAAACCTGATCTCCCTTATTTCCCTTCAGACCCCCAACGTCCCACCCCCAGGCCAACTTTTTTGTTTGTGGAATACAGACCTCTGTGTCTCATGACAGTCACCCTAGACCAGGGGGTGCCACGCCATGCCTTCATACCAGATGACCAGACACTTCTGGTCTGGTTGAGTGAGGTCAAGCAGACTCAGTATTATGGGATGGAGCCCAGCACCATCTCTGGGTCCCCTGGGTCTCTTGGGACAGCTCCCGAGAGGGGGAAGCCAAGATGAGGACTGCAGGGGGAGGAAGGATAACATTGTTGCTAATGCCAGCAGATGGCCCCCCCAGGGAGAGAGCTGGGGGAGGGGAGGGGGGAGAGGAAAGAGACCCATAAGGCCACATGCCAGGTGGAGAGAGGGAAAGATGGTGGCAGGAGCCAGTGATGAGGGGGTGAGAGAGCAAACAGGCAGGAAGAGCGGGGATCGCAGCCCCTGGAGGCGGGGCCCAGGGGACCTAGAAGGCCTAGGCATGTGCTGCTCCCCACCCTACAGCCTAAAATGATCAAGGCATTGTTTTTGGAGGAGATGGCAAATGTCTCTGCAAAGAGGGAGGAGGACAGGTGGGATAGGGGAGAGGGAAAGACTCCCACAGAGGGAGGGAGAATAGAGAGACAGGGGGATTCCAGGAGTCACTTGACTAATGGTCCTGCCCCAGGGCAGCGGCTCCACTGTGCCTTCTCCAAACGTCCATCCTGAGCAGAGTGGAGCCATTCTTTGGACCTGGGGGCGGGGCCTGAGGCAGGTACAATGCCCCACTGGTTGTGCACTCCCTCTGGGCCAGGAGGCACCTGGGGTTTAAAGGCAGGGAACATGAAGGTTCTAGAGACACCAGGGGCATCAGCCAGCTGGACCCCCACCCACCTTGTCTGACCAGAGAAAACCAAGCCTTAGAGAAGGGAGCCATTTGCCTGGGGTCACAAATGCTTGGCAGTGCCAGGCCTGGGACCCAGGCTCTTTGCGCTCTGCCACTCTGTAGTTAGAGAATAAGAACAGCTGCAGGGGGCCTCCTGGGTGCAGAGAGGGGCTAGAGCCCGGAGAGAGGAGCAGGCGGGCACCCTTGTGGCCAGAGCCCCCCCAGGGGAGGGGGTGGTGCCACTGTCAGGAGAGAGAGAGAGAGAGAGAGAGAGAGAGGGAGGGGGGGGAGAGAGGAGGGGAAACAGTGAGTCAGGCTTCCAAGAGCTGAGGATGAGAGAGCCAGAGCTGGGAGGGAGAGGGCAGGGAGGACTGCTCAGAAGCTCAGAGCAGGAGGGGGCCCAGCCGGGGGCAAGGAGAGCTCTAGAGGGAGGGAGCCAGCCTCTGGCCCCGGCCCAGCGGTAGGGCTCTGCAGAGGGAGCAGCCAATATGGACTTTGCTTGTGATAGGTCAGCGTCCCTTTTCTTTCCCTGTGATTCCACGCCAAGTTCTCAGGAGCATTAACTGTGTCCTCCCATCCCTTCCTCAGTTTCCCCATTTACTGTGAGCCTGTGGGATTTGGACTATTCTTGGAGAGGGAGTATGGGGCGCAGAGCCAATGAGGAGGGTGCCGAGGGATGTCACTTCTAGTTCCTGGCTGTGTGCTGGAGGTACTCTGGGAGCCTGCCACTAGTGTCCCTCTTAAGTCCTCTGAATTACTGAGTGGAGACCTGGGGGTGCAGGCCATGAATGCTGGGGTGCACTGTGTGTGTGTGTGTGTGTGTGTGTGAGACAGAGACAGAGACAGAGACAGAGACAGAGAATGAGGTGCTGGTCTGGCAATGGTAGGTGAGCTACCCCGGGCTTCTCAGCATGGCCAGTGCCTAAACAGGCCCACAGGCCCCCTATGTCCAGAACCAACCTCCCCTTGGGGAGGGAGAGATACTTCTATACTTCCCCTATGTCCCTATGGGTCCGAGGCTCTCTTGAGAAGCTGGGAGGTGGGAGTAGCCCCTGTGGGAGCTGATGAGAATTGTCTATGCAGCCTTGC